GAGTTACTCTATTATAATAATAGCTACTAGAAATAGTAAAATTATATAGATATAGTTATAGTAGATAGTATATAAAATACTAGCTTACTTTTATTAAACTTATTATATATTTATAATTTTACTTAACTATTATAGTATATATAGTAATAGAAAAGTTATTATCTATATAAAAATAGCTATATAATAATAGATATATAATTAGACTATAAACTATTTTTATAAAATCTATATTAAGATATAAGTACTTATAGAGAAATTAGTTATAGTTATATATAAACCTATATATAATATTTTAAAAGATATATATATATATATATATACTTTATAAAAAGTGCTAGCTATAGCTATAAGAAAATCTCTATATAGATATATAGTGTATACGTATCTTATAGTAGAAGGTAGAGTTAGTTATAGTTATAGTTAATTCTACTTATTAGTTCTTATTATACTACGTTCTATATTATATATATACTTTATATAGTATACTAGTAAATTTAGATTAAATAGCTAATATAATAAGTTTATAATAATAGAATAAAATAGGTATTTATATTAATTATTCTACTTTATCTTATATTTAGTTCTATCTAATCTACGTTAACTTTTATTCTACCTATATTAGGTATATTAGAATCTTAGTGTAGGTAGGTATTATAAAATACACTAGTTTTTACTTATAATATACTATTATATTTACTTAATACTTTCTCTATATTAGAAATCTTAATAAACTTACTCTTAGTGTTACTTTTATAGATATAAAGTTTTTAAGTTTAGCTTAAGAAGAGTAGGTAAATATTAGTGTAGCTACTATTATAGTTTTTAATATCTTCTAGTTCTAGGTTAGTAGTATAGAGAAGTTTAAAGTTAAACTCTACTTTAGATTTAGAAATAGAACTAGTATTATAGTTAAGTTTAGCTTATAAAATTAATAAAAACTAGTAATAATATTAGTTTACTTACCTTTAAAAGCGCGCTAAGATACTATTACTATAATCTTATTAAGTATAGATGCTGTTTGTTATGTAAAAAGAATATTAATAAGATAGTAAAATTCTTTATTAGAGCTATTATTATAACTCTTATATACTAAAAGTAATAAGTATATATCTAGCTTATATCTTAATAGACGTATAAATAACTATAAGATTAGTAGTAACTTTTATAGTATTTATAGTATATTATAGTTATAAGAATAGTACTTATTAATAAAAGGTAGTTTAGGCGTATAATTTATAGTTTAACTAGGTCTAGCATTTATTATAAAGGTAAACGTAAATAATAGCGCTATTATAGGTCTTAGCGTAAATTTCTAGTTATTATAGTAATAGTGTTAATATTAGAGAGTAATAATATTATATCTAATATAAAAATAAGAATAGTATTACTAGTGTAGTATACCTCTAAATCTTAATCTAGTAATAGTATTAATAAGCGTAATTATAATAGTATATAGCTAAGTATAGTTAAAATTAAGTTAAGCGCGTATAAAAGTAAGTTTATTAGATATATAGTAAGGTTATAATAGCAGAGTATCTAGTTAGTTACTATAGAAAATTACTAGTAACTTATACTTAGAAGATTAAGTTACTATTATAGGTTAGTTACTATAGTTATAGCTATAGTTATAATAGTAACGTATAAATACGTTAGTTTATAATACTATTATATCTTTAGTTTAGATAGCTATATAAAGAGATTTATAGCTAGATTCTAATTATATTACTTCTATAATATTACTTTTCTATTATATATAAGTAGTAGAGCGTATATAAATAATATAGAGTATTAAGAGTAGTGTACTCTATTAGTAGGTTATATATACACTTAATAATATTTATATAATATCTACGCTTTAAAGTATATTATATTATAAAATATAATATAGCTATAGAATAGTAGTAATAGGCTATTACGCGTAATAAGTTATATATAATAAGTTACGTAGGTAGACTATAATAGATAGTATATTATAGTTACAAGAGATAGTCTATATAGAGTTTATAGTAGGTATAGTATATAATAAGTAGAAATATAGTAATATAGTAAATATATTAAGACTATTATACGTAATAGATAGATAAAGAAAAGAAGTATAGAAAAGAGATAAATAGTAGAGAATTACAGGCTAGCCTAAATTCTTTAAGATAATTTATTTACGCTAAGCTTCTTTTACGCTATAGATAGAAATAATAGTTAGTCTTAGTGCTATAGATAATAATTATAGTTAGTTAGAGAGCTATAGATAGAAACTTTAGTAAGAAACGCGTACGTAAAGGCTTATAGTTATAATATATAATAAAGAATTAAAAATAGAAACTATATATAGTAATATTTTAATTCTATATTCTTTTCTACTTTAATTAATAGTAGTTTTATAAGATATATCTAGAGGTTTATAGAGAAAAGAGGTTATAGATAAATAAAACTTTACTTTAATTTTCTCTATGTCGCGCAGTAAACTTAATCTAAACCTAGTAAGTTTTATTCTTTACTAGCTACTAACACTAAGTATAATAGAGTATATATAGCTATAGAGGCACTAAATTTAATACTAGAAGCGCCTATTTTAAGTACTTAATTTAGTAACTAATTCTAACTATAAGTACTTAATTTTAACTTTAATTTAAGTCTAAAATTTAGCTATAGATATTAAAATTTAGCTATAAGTATTAGATTTAGCTATAAGAGCGCTCTTTTTTAGCTATAGAAGTACTAATCTCTAGCTATAGAAGCGCTTATATTAAGTACTTAATTTAGTAACTAATTCTAACTATAGATATCTAATTTTAGCCTTAATTTAAGTCTAAAATTTAGCTATAGATATTAAAATTTAGCTATAGATATTAGATTTAGCTATAAAAGCGCTCTTTTTTAGCTATAGAGGCACTAATCTCTAGCTATAGAGGCGCCTATTTTAAGTACTTAATTTAGTAACTAATTCTAACTATAAGCGCTTAATTTTAGCTTTAATTTAAGTCTAAAATTTAGCTATAGATATTAAAATTTAGCTATAAGTACTAAATTCTAGCTATACGTAGGCTATACTAGTAGTAAGTATAGTAATTACGTAAAGAACTTTAAAATTTAGCTCTAAACTTCTCTACTCTATAACTTTACAACGTAAGTAGCTATTAATAAGCTAAGTATAGCGTTAAATTCGCGTAGTAATTCTATACAAAATAGCCTACTTAGATTTTATCTAAGCTCTTAGGTAGTAAAGTTTAAAAGCCTTAAAGCTACTACTTTAGAGCTACTCTCTATTTCTTATTAGTGCTTATTACTCTTACTAAAAATTACTTAGGCCTAGTAGCTCTAAGACGTTCTCTTAGATAGTGTAGGTACTAGTAATTTATTAGTAAAAGTAAAGAATCTAACTCTAATTCTTTATATAATAAAGTTAGTATTTATTACTAAGATTATTTTATATAAAGTATAGCTACTTTATAATATTAGTAATAATAAATAAAAGCTCTAGATTAGTGTTTATATACTCTAGATTATTAAGCTTAAAAACTTTATTCTAGTAAGAAAGCTTATTTTAGATATTTATCTCTTATTATAAGAGTTTTATAGAGATTAGATAATATATTATAGAATAATAAAGTAATTATAGTAAGAAGCTTATAAAAGAAAGCTATTAGAAGTAAATATATATAGTAGAGGCATTAGGCTAATATAGACTAGAGTTCTCTAAAAATCTAAACTATTATACTTATAGTTTAAATATAGTAATATTATTTTTCTAGAAAATAATATAGAACTTAGAAAACTATTACTTAAAGTATAGATAGTTAGATAGAGTTACTATAGTAGTAGAAGAGCTATTATATAAGGCTTATTTACTAATAATAGATAAGCTATTAGATAATATAGCGTAGTTCTACTAAAAGCTCTACTAAGCACTTTCTAGCTCTAAGTTATTTATAATATCTATAAGATATAATACGTAATACTATATACTTATAAAGAAATAATAGATATTATCTTTAAACTTTTTAGTATTAGTAAAAACTACTAACTTTTTATTAGAATATATAGTAATAGTAGTAGATAGCTTACTCTTTAACTTAGAGAGGTTTTTAAGTATCTTAATAAACTAGAAGCTATTACTACTATTACTACTATTACTACTATTATAAGTAGTATTATTACTATAGAAGATAAATTAGCTAAAGACTTATATATTATTATTATTACTATAGTAGCTAGTATAGAAGTCTTAGATACTTAGTAATTATAAAAAACTACTACTAGGCGTATAAAGAGCTAAAAGTAGTAGTAGCTAAAAGTAAGCTTACTATTATAAGAAAGTAGTAGTCTATAATAACTAACTACTAAAAGTTTAGAATAACTATTCTAAGATCTAAGACTTCTAGATAAGCTTAGCTAAGCTATTCTTAGCGTAGTTTATAGTAGTAGTAGTATTACACTAGTAGTAGAGTACTATAGTATATAGATTAGTAGACTACACTATAATAGATTTAGAAGTTTTAGGTATATTATATTAATAGATAATCTTTATAGTATTTTTAGAGACTTTAGAATATAAAGTACTAGAGCACTTAATTATATCTATAGTATTACTAGGCTTCTTTTATAAGTTACGCTAGTAGATAGATATATAGTATTAACTATAATAATATATAAGAGTCTTATAAAAGATTAGATAATAGATATATATAGAATAATAAAGTTATTATAGTAGAGAGTTTATATAGAGCTTAGTAGAAATATATATATATATAGAGGCTGTATAGGCTATAGGCTCTACGTTACGTAAAGGCCTAGAGCTCTAAACTATTATAATAGACTCTATCTCTTAGGTCTAAGAGAGAGTAATTATCTTATAGCTAATAAGATATAAGCTTTAATTAGCTAATTACACTTTATACTTTTCTAGGTTATATATAACTATAAAGCTTTGCAAGTAGAGTAATAATTACAAGTACTTTGCATGAATTTAAGAGAACTGTCTCGTATTGCATTCCGCTACACGTCTACATTGCGCATTGCCCCGTCGGGAAGCACTGCAGGTTATCAATTGCGAAAGTCGTTCCCGCAGCGAGAATGCCGGCATTGTTGAAGAGAACGAGAACCATGACGGTATGCTGGTCTTGCGCATTCGCGACTCCGGAACCGCCTACCGTGTTCCAAACAGCCGCTTCTGGACTCGTCGGCGATCCCGTGAACAAACCGTTCGACACACCGTTCTGCGGATAGTACACGAGTTGATTGTCAACATACAGACGGGCTTGCACGGTGTATCGCGGGCGACTGTCGTCCTGAACTATCTTGAACCCGACCGTGCAGTTGTAGTTGCTGCTGGCTGGAATATAGACGTCTTGGAGCGTGAACCTCCACTGCCATCCTGGCGCGTTGTACCGATTGGTCATTGTAGTGTAAAGCGCATGTGATCCGTCGAGCGGCGCGAAGGGTGCCGTATCAGCCGAAAGAACCTCGGTCTTGCCGTACAAAGTATTGGTGGCGTAGGTATTGGTCCAGGGTGCGATGGCTCCGCTTTCGAAAGATGGATTGTAACTCGCGGCGAGCGTGTTGCACGTTGCTGGGGCCGACGTGGTGGATGTCGCGACGCTCGAAGTCGCTGGGGACGAGGAAGCGAGTATCTCCGGGAGTGGCGACGGCGTCTCGGCCACTGAGCTCGTTGCGGTCTCTTGGGTTGGTGTGGGGGTGGTTTCGGAGGATGCGACAAGCTCCGACGATGGCGACGCGCTGATCACGGGGGCAACGGTGGAGGAAATGGTCTCGATCTCGATTTCCATCGGTACAACCCGGCATTCAGTGGATGCTGGCGTGGGCGTGGGCGTGGGCGTGGGTGTAGGTGTGGTGGTCGGCTCGACAGACGTCTCGAGCACGGTAATTGATGCGACGGGAGAGACAATCTCGGCTTGCGAGGAAGCGACCTCTGATGTTGCGAGCGGTACTGCAGCTGTGCTCGAAAGCTCGGCATCAATGGTGAGTGACTCTGCATGGCTAGCCAGGACGCTGGAGGAGCTGGTGGCAGAGTCCGTCAAGGCGGTGACCTCAGACGATGCGAGTGAGGTTGAAAGCCCGCTAGGCGCGGAAACGATGTCAGTGGCCGCTGTTGACTCTGAAGCGGCTTCCAGCAAATGCGAGCTCTCCACTGCGGTAGCCGATGGGCTTGTGCTTGTTGTGAAAGTACTTGGGTACAGGCTTTCGACTAACGGAATCGTGGATGAAGAAGATGGAATAGGGTCGGCGAGCGATGCGCTTGTGGCCTGGGATGAGGTAGTGGACGAAGACACGGTGCTTGACGACGAGGTAGACAATGAACGCGCGTGTGTGCTCATGGCTGGGGGCGCACTGGCCGGTGCAATTGGCGCCTTCGCCGGGGAGGACGAGGCGGACGGCGCGGACGAGGATGCAGGCTTGCAATTACCGAAGCCTGGCTGGCAGCCGCTACCGCAGTATGCATCGGTACTTCCACTGTCTCGCATTAGTATACAGTAGCATGCGACGAGTTACGTCATCGCCGAACGTACCAGTATGAGTATTTACTGCAGCAGTTACCCCATTTGGATCCAGCGCAGGTCATCCCGAGGGGCGAAGCTTGGTACGCATTTCCGCATCGCGCATTGGTAGAGACCTTGTGTGTAACGGGTCTCGTGGCGGGCGATGAAGCGGTGGAAGCAGCGCGAGTTGATGTCGACGATGAACGCGTCGTGGCAGCAGGAGTGGCGGCAGCTGGGCCTGAGCAGGAACCGAAAGCAGGGTTGCAGCCTGAGCCGCAGTATTCTTTGGATGATCCACAGTATCCGTATCTGGAAGCGTCGTGATTAGCGATTTGTCCAAGTGGCTGTGTCTTCCAAGATTGACTTACTGCGAACAACAGTTGCCGAATACAGACTTCGAGCACGTGAAGCCACTCTTTCCGCCGCAAGACCCATCCTTCGACACCTTTGCAGATACCGAGACGAGAACAGGCGAGGAACTACAATTCCCAAAGCCCGACTGACATCCGGATGCACAATGAGCTGAAGTCTTGCCGCAGTAGTTGTATTGCGAGCAGCAGTTGCCAAAAGAGAAACCGATGCACGTAAGACCAAAGCTGCTTCCGCAGCGGCCGGACTTGGAGATGCGCGGACTGCTCACAGCAGCATCGATGATGGGGAGAGCAGCAAGGAGTGCAAGAAGGATCGATCGCATGATGTCGAATAATGTATTAAGATAAATTGGTGAGATAGGTTCGACGCGAGACTGAATGAGTGACGAGTTGGGCGAAAAGAAGGGCCGCCAGACAATGTCCGACGGAGGAGATAACGAGAGACGGTGCGCAATGCTTCATGTCGAAGGCTGTGGCGATGATATTTGTGGTTCTCATGATTGCATCGCTGTCGTGACAGTTGTCGCTACAACCGAAAGAGTCGAGCTACACCACGCGAAGCCACAAGCGGGTCGATGAAGCCCTGTCGCGAAAGCGAACTCAATCCAGTGAGCTGAAAGCCGAAATAGGAAACCCATGCTTTCTTTCGAGGTTGTTGTGATGTTGGTCGAGAGAGGGTGTAGAGACCGTACGATGTTCGCGCGGAGCCGCCGAAGACCAGCACCGTTTTGGCTAGGCTGCCGCGACTAGCGCCCGCCCTCTGCGCCACAGGAGGTGAGCTTGGCGATGTCGTGGTCTTCTCTGCCTTTCGCGCTCCAGCCTGACAATGCAAAAAGTTGTTTGCAATGAGCTCAATTTCCACATAAGAACGTATAGAGTGCGCCTTTGATTCAGACTGCGGTCTGGCTCTGGCCCGGGCTGCTCACGACAATAGGGCAAGGAAAAGGGTCAATGCCCAAGCGAACCCCTCAAAGCCTGCATACTCACATATTGAAGAAGGGGCTGGAATAGACGCATTATAAGCGACCCCCTCGCTCGCGCAATAGCTTTGCTCTGGGCTTCGCGCTCGAGCCTGAAGTCTTTCCGCGAGGGACTTTGGGTGAGCACATTGGTGGGTTGGTCAGTCGATGACGGTAGTTCGCAATAGCTTTCATTACAAGTTAACCTCATTCTACATTTGCGTAATCTTCACCGTCCTCATAATTCCATTGTGCCCCGCTGCAGTTACATCAGCCGTTCCACTAAATTTATCTTGCTCCCACTCCATGTTCAACTCGAGCGTACTCCCACTCGGACTCGCGTTCCCGCTGGTGACATGGACAGTATGATGTTTTGAATCATGATTACTGAGCTGGATGTCATTCCCGCCTTGCTGGCTTGCTTGTTCCAGGTACCCTGATCGTGACGGGTGCGCCGAGTTCCACCTGCGCGAGTGCTTGCGCGAGGCGCTGTCATGCGTCGAAATTTCACCAAACACTTGGCGGAGCAAGGGGCGGAGAGTCGCGGCGGCGGAGGTCGCAAGGCCAATACCGGTTTCGACGGTAGACCATATCGCGACGTCGGTGGTAGTGTATAGGAAGTCGGGTATATCGTTGAGGCCGTTTATGAATGGGATGCGGACGACTGTTGCGGTGGAGCCACTGGTGTTGAGTTAGCATACGATGCAAGGAAGGCTCTAGAGGCGGAATGAGCTTACATAGCGCAGCAGGCGAGTACAACAACCACCGTCATCTTCTTCCTCTTGTCCATCTGCAAGTTGTGCACGATGAAGATTGGGACAATACTAAATGTCCAGTCCGTGACACAGGACAGTGCAGAGTAGCCGTAGAACGAGTTCACGACGAACCTAGAGGGGATGCAATGTCCTTTGCCGCCGCGGAACTGTTCCCAGAAGAACGAGACAGGCCAGCATTGGAAGGTGAAGACAAAGAAGAAGTACACGCTGTATACTTGGATGGCGATGAGGGCGATCCAAAGAATCATGCGATGGGTTCTGTCCTGGGCAATGCGCAGAAGGAAGATGCCGATGCTCATCTTGAGGAAGATATTCGTAACAACGTATGTGGGCTCGCAAGTCCACCACCACTGGTTCGAGTTGTTAGCCTTAAGTAATATACTGTAGACGTGGTATTACACACCTTCATACCGATGGGATACTTTTCATCCGGGATGAGATATCGTCTCTTCCCGGTCCCATTTTGGACACCTAGCAGCGCGGAGCTACAATAGACCAAGAAGGCTGCCAGGGTAAGAACAGAGAAGTAGTCATCGGCCGCGAAGTTCTTCACGAGAACCAGCTTGCAGTAGCATCGAAGCAGTACTAGCAGGGTGCAAATACAGATGAAGAAGCCCAAGACACCGGTGAACTCTCCGGATCGATCTTCTCGCGGCATTGTTGTCGGTGGGAATGTGGTCTAGAAATCGGTCCAACTCTGAACCCACCACGCGGGGAGACGGCTATGTAAACTATGAACCCTTCGGCGCGTCCTTTGCCATAGGGGTTGACATGACTTGGAGCGAGACCTCGATACGAGCGCCATGCATGCAGGGACAGGAAGTTGGCCTGTGTCGGTGAAGGATTTTCCTTAAGGCGGGCGACACGCGAGAAATCCATGGATGATCCACGATCCGTCTCCACAGCGGCTGGACCCTGACTCGGATAACGCAGGTTTGACGTGATGCTACTCGATCGCTTGGTAATCGCGAAGCTCGGTGAAAACCCACGGAAGGCTGGAAACTGGGTCAATTTCCGGGAGGGTGGTTCCAAGTGTTCTTGGTCGGTTCCATGTGGCTGATCTAGATCTGCGCGGCCTCACCAGGAACTGCCGCTTGAGCCGCATCTGTTGAGAACTCCAACACCGAGCATCTCGAATGTATCGCAACGTCTCGTTGACACTTTGATGTACTCGCGAGTGTGCGACACGACTTCCTGATGTTAGAGGTAGTCGCAAATATGTGCGAACAAGGATGGTACTCTCGATGACACTTGCAGCTTATTCCCGAAGTCCGCTGTCTGTAATGCACGCCGCTTCAACGCTACCGCTGTTATTCCAAGCGTGTCTTATGTCCCTGGTGGTTAATCCTTGGGAAGTGATGCCCAACGCCGGGCTTCGAAGCAGAGGATGGAGGTATGCAAGGGATTCATGTTCGCGGGCTTTGCGATTATGGAATGGGTGGTCGTGAGCTGCGGGTGGCTGCGCAACGCGAGACGCCGGGAGCACATCAATGAAGCCGTGTCGCATAATTTGATTCGCGCGGTGGGTGGAAGGTCGCGGAAGAGGTAGTCGACGCCGCAGAGTGACAGCGGGCAGATGGTGGTTAATCGGGAACGGGGGTTACGCGATCCGGACGATGTTCGCCGGGTTGGGCAGGCCTGTTCGGGTAAGGCTGGATCTAGCTAGCGGCCGCTTTGACGCGTCCAACAGGAACCCCCGCGCCATGGGCGTAACCTTGACTTCACGACCTCATACTTGAGAGACGTTTTCTCAAGGCCGCCCACAAACATCACGATGACATAATACATGCGATATCCTGCAGTACCCGGACGCCGCTGCCTACGTCAGCGAACGAGTCAGCGTGCGATGCCATACTGTGGGATCGCTGCAGCCTGGCACTGCCAACATGCACTGCCACGTTCTGGACATGTAATAGTGACTAGCAACTGCTGCATCGATGGCGAATAGCTGAAACCTGGCTAACAGAACGGTCGTTGGGCTTCTTATGGACCCCGCGGAATGATGCCCTACCAGTCGCGGCCTCAATTGTGTTGCCTCTTCCACTTGTCATATTACTGATCTTCGCTGACCCAGGCGCGCTGCATGTTGATGGCAAACGACAGGCGCTCAAACGCGACGTTTCGCACCGTGGTCTGGGGTGAAACGCGGACGAATGCATTCCAGAGCCAGATGCGGTAGGCTGTCATTCGAGCAGCGCTGCGCCACTGGCGGTAGCTATGCGCACTCTTTTTCGGACGTAGGGCTTACACACTGTAAGCTCTAGGCAGTCTTTACTTAGACAAGCCGTGGAAACTTCGCCTGGTGCAGATGTTCGTTCGTAACCCATCAACGCATTCTTCGCATTTCTAAAACTTGCAACAACTGTAGGCTTATTGCGTGTATTCTACATCTGTACGATAGAACACCAAACAGGCGTGCCGCCTACGTTGGTATAGAAAGCTGAACTTCAGAGGATACCAAGGCAACGTAGCCTCGTGCGTTCCCCTACATTTGACTCAGGACAAAACCAACAAGACTACGGCATGTCTCTGCAGTCTCACGAAACGAAGGACTTGCTGGACATTGTCGACAACCTCCGGTCCCACGGCATCAATCGATACATGAACCTCCCCGAAATCATCGTATGCGGCGAGCAGTCTTCCGGCAAGAGCTCCGTGCTTGACGCGGTATCCGGCGTCAAGTTCCCCAGCAAAGACAACCTATGCACCAGGTTCGCGACCGAGCTGATCCTTCGACGAGGCCCAGAAGCACCAATCAAGATTAGCATCGTACCCAGTTCGCGGGAGCAGGATCGTTCAGACAGCGACCTAGAGAAGCTGCGCAATTTCCACTACTCTCGCTCGTTAGAGGGCTTTGATCTAGGGCCAGTGATCGAAGAAGCCAAAGATGCGATGGGCATCGGAGAGGGCAGCAGCAAGGCTTTCAGCTCCGACATCCTTCGCCTGGAGTTATCGGGACCTGAACAGCCGCATCTTACCCTGGTCGATCTGCCTGGCTTGTTCCAGGCGGGCAGTCGAACCCAGTCAGACGCCGATGTAGAGACGGTCCGGTCGCTCGTGCTCTCGTACATGAAGAACCCGCGTAGCATCATACTCGCTGTCGTTTCCGCGAAGAACGACTTCAATCTTCAATCGATCACAAAGGACGTGCTTGACATTGATCCTCGGGGGAAGCGTACTCTTGGACTGATCACGAAACCGGACACATTGGATGAAGGGTCGGATAGCGAGCGGTCTTACTTCGAGCTGGCGCAAAACAGAGACGTTAGGTTTCGCCTGGGGTGGCATGTGCTTCGCAACCGAGACTGTACATCCAAGGACTCGACTACCGAAGAGCGCGACCGAGTTGAAAAGCTTTTCTTCGAGACTGGCATTTGGAGATCGCTTCCATCTGGACTAGCCGGCGTCCACACTCTCAAGCTGAGACTAAGCAAGATCCTCGAGGACCGCATCGTCGCGCAGCTTCCTGAAGTCCTTACACAGATCAAAGACGGTATTGAAGAGTTGAAGATCCTAGAAGAAAGACTCGGAGCTCTTCAGAACGTGCGGAACTTGTCGCTACTCCCTGAAGGTAGGAGAAGCTTGATGCCAGCTCATGCGCCGAAAGAGAAATAGCACTAACACTCCTCAGACACTACCGATAGCCTTCTACAAATCGGTAAAGATCTAGAACGCGAGGATCACGAGTCCGAGCAAGGCACTGAATCTTGCCACCGAACCTCTATGCTCTCGAGCATCTCAGAACCCGCAGAAGCGCCTACGCAGGGCGAGAGCGTTGCCCCTTGGTATGCGTCGTATTCGAAGGATAAATATTTCCCGATCGACACTACGAGCGACCCTTCTCAATGGAAATTCACTGGTCCGGTGTATGTGCCGAAGAAGAAAGGTAAGGCGACGAGAGGGCCTTTGTACGTGTAATAGCGATAATCGCACGTTAAGTAAGCTGCGGTGGTAACAAAGGGTTCACAGTGTGTGGGAGGTAGGGAAGTCTTTTGTTGCTGGACGTGGTTGCAATTTGTCTTGCGCTCCACGAAGGACAGTTCGAGGTAGAAGTATACATTACCTCGAGTTCAGCGGAGTTATCAACGATTGATGGCATGTATGAGCCACATCCGCTATCGACTCTTCGTGCCTAAATGAGTGAATTGACGTTCATGTACATATAATGCCTCATTCCAGCACCCAACACTACTGATACCCCTCCGTCCTCGCAGCATGACTAGGTTTCGTCCCCAACGCCATAACCGGACTATTAACAAACTCCTCCAACCCATCATGCGTGAAGAACGTCTGCGCCTTGCTAATCTGCACCTCATTCGCGCCTCTCTTCCAAATACTCTCATCATACGCCGTGACCGCATCTTTGAGTGTTGCGCTCCCGCTCTGCACGCTCTTCAACGCTTCAACAAGACAATGCGCAGAGTAAAAAGCATTATTAGCGCCCTGCCCACGGTGAAACGTCATAGCATGCGCCGCATCACCGCACAGCGTAACCCTCCCGTCTTGGTTATCCCACGGAACGGTTTTCCATATCTTGAGCTGATCGCGTAACACCGGGGTATCCTCTGGTATCCACTCAATCGCACTTTTATACGGTTCCGCCCACCCATCGCGCTTCACATGCGCTTTAAGTCTTTCCAACCGGCCGTCTTCGTTATCATGATCTTCAACATACTTCAGCGGCCAGGTCGACAGGATCTGAAACGTCCAGGTACTCGCGTCTTTCTCGTCGGGCATGTCGAGCACGTTGCAGCGGATGTAGTGGCCGGCGGGGTGGATTGCGATGTCGACGAGTGGGTGTAGACGCTCTTTGATGAAGAGGGCTTGGGAGGCGGTGTAGGAAGCGTTGAAGTTCATTAGGGCGAAGGGGAGGGTGTCCATGTTGCCTTCTTTGGGTATGAGACAGCGGCGGACTTTTGACATGGCGCCGTCGAGGCCGATGACGATGGTGCCGGTGTCGGTTGTGCCGTCGGCGAAGTAGACTTTCACTCCGCCACTTTCCATCGTTTCGTAGTGCGAGAAGCTCTTGCTGTATTTAACATCCAACTGTTCTGCTAGCAGCATGCGCAGTCTTCTAATATTAATCTCACGCGCCTTTGGTATCGGGAACGCAAACGCCTCCTCTCGCGTCTGACCGTTGTAGATGACGATTCGATCTTCACCCAGCGCGGCGCAATCGACGTACGGGTCGACTTGACATGAGTTGATCTGCGCGCTGAGCTCTTCTGAGATGAGGTCGAAGAGGTATGGTCGCGCCCAGCCTAATGTGAAGGCCCAGTGACGGTGACGGTAGACGTCGGCGCCTTTGTCGTAGATGTTGAAGGAGATGCCGGCTTTCTTGAGGCCGTGAGCGAGGGCGCAACCGGCGGGGCCTTGGTGTGTTAGTAGGGGTCTCTTGTGCTGAAGGTTTGGTTACACACCGGCACCGATGACGATGACTTTCAGGCTGGTGTCGATGCTACCCATGTTGGTTGGATGCGGTGTGGGGTATGAGAAGTGTGAGGGACGGTGCAGGCAAGATACAATGTCAGATTCGAGAGATACTTGGTCGCGGCATCAGCGGTCTTAACATAGCATGCCGGATCGAGGCCATGCTGCAGGGTCGTTCAAGCCAGGCGACATGTGTAAGCTAGCGTAAGAGAGTGGGGGATGCGATGCAGATGCGGCGGATGCGGCGGGCGCCGTTGTTACTGGCGTCCGGCGTCGGTTCTCCTCCCCAGTGCCGTGCCCAGACATCGAACGCAACACAGTTTACGCATGGGTGTGAACGTCTCCGAGAAGTATAGTCATGAAATGGGTTGGAAAATTGCGCTCGGCTATATCGACCATGTGTAGGACCTCCGCGTGTCGCGCCTCCGCTCGGTCAAACTCTAGCATCGACATTCATCCCGACAGCATGGCAAACTGCAGTCCTGACGATCTCCCTCACAGTCTCCACTTCCTCTTCGTTCCTCGGCGCATATACCATGATCCAGCTCGGCGGTGCCAACCAGGTCACTGGAAAGCGCTGTCCCCAGCCCCTCTTCATCACCAGCCTCGCGTCTTGCGGGCTCACGTATACGTGGAGTGAGTTCTCGGCTGGGTGCACGTGCGCGACCTCGTAGAAGATCTTGTGCGCGACAGGGTTGATGGTCTTGACGTCTGGTTTGACGTAGATGGCAGGTCCAGTGCCGCCTTCGGTCTTGCTCGGTCGCGTCTCAATGTACTCCGAGTACGCCTTTGTATCCGCAAACTCGCGCATGAGATCGTGAAGAGTGGTGGAAGCGCCAGGTGTGATCTTCTCTGGGAACTGGCGTTGTGGTAGCGTCCAGCGTGTAAGTCCTGGTCTACTGCCAACGCGGTCCGGCACCTTCTGGGGATTGATGTAAGACGCGCCCGTATTAGGAATTGGAGATGCATCGAGCAGGTTCTGGCGCGTGTAGAGCAGATAGAGTCCCCATCGACGGATCTTGATGTAGCCTTGTAGTGTTGGAGGCGTGCCACCAGTTCCTGCGGCGACTCAGCAATCGCATTTACACAGGCTGGGAGGGTCGCGAACCAAAGCTTTGCCAGCTCTTGAAGTCATACCAGAAAGCCAGTCCCGCAGCTGCTAGGCCAGCCAGCACGTATTGGGCGGCCATCTTGAACGAGGCTACGTGGCGATCAAGAGAAGGCTTCGAACAGAAGGTCTGGTGAGACAGGGTCGACGTCGCGAGTCTGATAGTTTGCGGTGTTCCGTTTCAAGATGCGGACTTGAAGGTTAATGGGGGCCGCGCGATGTGGGGCGAGTGAGGGATAGGGCTGTCGCGGGCGGGAAGGCTAACGGCGCTAGAAGATCGGATCCCCTCACTCTCGCCCAATGACCCGGCTGCATCCCCGCAACACCTCCGCGACCCATCCAACACCATGTCACGATGCACCAGCAACATCGCGCACGACAGGCGCAAAGCGTCGTCCGCCTTTCGCATCGTCTCACATCGCACTCAGGCGATACCACTAAGTTCGCGACGCAGGTGAAGATCTAGAGAGTGTGCTAGGAACTCCAAGGCATCCGCGGTTTCAAACGCTACTATTTCCATCGCCACCTTGAAACATCGCTCGCGGACTCCATAAGACGAGGCAAGCGGCCTCTATACCCAGCAGAATGCACTCCCCCAAGTGCTGAACACACAAATGGTACTCTGCAACTACTGCGCCGCTCAACAAACCCAAAGGGACGCCGCCGAAGCAACGCATCCACGCGCCTTAGCATCGCATCCCCTCCACGCAGCCCAACCCGAAGAATATCTCCGACCCTCCAAACAGCGCGAACTATCCATCATCGAAGAAGCGCGCACCGAATCGCTAAAAGCCGAGTCCCTCAACGCAGAGTCGCTCAAAACAGGGCCGCCCACGCCAACGCAGCCGCAGCCCAAAGAGCGCAAGTCGCGAGCACACAAGATGTCCATCCCACCGCAGCTCCAGCAGCAACTGCGCCTGCTCATCCGCGCAAACCACATCCTGCACCACCACGGCCTCGTCGACGCTTTCGGCCATATCTCCGTAAGACACCCGCTCAACAAGGAACAATACATCATCGCAGCCTACGACCCCGGCGCCCCAGCCCTCGTCAAGAACATGAGCGACTTTATATCGTACTGGGTGAAGGACTCCTCGCCCGTCGACGCCGACGCGCCGCAGGGATACAGCGAGCGGTATATCCACGGGGAGATACTAAGGAAGTTTCCCAAGGTGAATTGCGTTGTGCACTCGCATTCCGAGGACGTTATCCCTTTTACTGTAGGACACGGCACGATGGAACCGCATCCCGTACGACCGGTGTTCCACATGGCTGGTTTCATGGGCCTGGGCGGCGCCAAGGTATTCACAATGGACAGTCTCCGTGGAACGTCAGCGCCCTCTGAACACGACCTCCTTATCAAAAACGCAGCCCTCGGCGCAGCCTTAGCCTCCCGCTTCTCCCCCGAATGTCCCGTTGTACTACAACACAAGCACGGCTTCACGACCTTCGGCGCTAGCATCGAAGAGGCTGTGTACCGGGCGATATATACGCAGAAAAACTGTATATTGCTACAAAGGGCGATTGCGATTGCGGGGGGCGATGCAGAGGGGGTTTCATATTTGAGTGCGCAGGAGATCAAGGATTGTGCGGTTATGAATGCGAAGACGTTGGATAAGTCGTTTAGGCTGTGGTTGAGGGAGGTGCAGGTTAATCCGCTGTATGAGAATGAGGAGGGGGAGCCGGAGAAGGGGAGGGTTGGGGGGATGAAGATGTAAGAAGCTACACAGAACCCCGGCCGTAGCCGATGCACTTCCTGTACCAATCTGGCGTTAAATACAGCTCCACCTGATTAGGTTGCACGTTGCCAGATACTCGACTGACGTCACTAGCAAGCAAGATCCTGATGGTGATGTGAAAATATAATACATCTGACCGATCGTCCAATTGATTCTCAGACCCCGATCATGAAAGAAATCGGACCACATGTGTAACGCAACGTACACCTTATTCGCTTCGGCAACTATATAATCCCATATTCTTGGATCTGGGTTTGGAAAGCTTTGTACGCGACAGGGAAGAGAGTCCCCATTCCCACGCGTCTGTATTCACTGTCGCTGACATGCTCAAGAAGTAGCACCCAGTACACGAAGTCGACGTTCTGTTCAAGATTGTAGACTATATCTCCCTAGCAAATGTTAATGTCAGCGGTCAAAGTGGCAATTCGGTGGCTGCTCACAATGGGTTGCTTTTTTACGAACGGTCGAGTTTCGAGGGAGTTGGTATGCATCTGGTGATGTCGCCAGTCGTCTTCTTGGTTCATCCGCTGTGCCTTTGCAAGGAAACAAACATGTGTGTATGATGTTGCCATTGGGTTGTCGAATCGTGCTATCCCCAACACTGCTTGGTGGTAAGCATCGTGCATCTCTTGCGTGAGAACACAAAGGCCTTGGTGTATCGAACTTTGAACTTTGCTGTATTCATCGTAGAGCTCTGAGAGCTCACGTAGCTCAAGATGGCGTGCAAGTGATTCGCCTCGCACATAAACTGGGGCTGACTGGATAGTACCTAAGGGTCCGCGTGCCTGGAGGAGCCCTTTGGGTGTGACCGCTACTCGTTCGGGCATTTCCTCTGCCCGTTCAACGTCTTCAAAAACTCCGTATACGTTTCCGTCCGGCCATTGTTTAGTACCATTGGTGGCAGCCCAGCTCCAAGAAGGTATTTTAAGCAATTCGTCGTCGTCGAAGCATGTGATGTCACGCAACCAGAGCAGTTGAGGTACAAGTTGCTCTTTCCAAACACCAAATTCTGCAATGTACTGATCCTTACTTGAGAATTGAAGTTCTTCAGCAATTCCTCTGATAGCCTCAGTACGGTCCGAGGGAACTGTCAAGGATCTTCTTGTATACTCATGCAGTAGCCTGAGCCACTTTGTTTCGTGGCCAACACTAGTGAAGCAACGTCCTGCCCCGCCTATTGATTGTGATCGACAGAACCACCTGATACCACCGGGCATGAATGAGATGAAACGCCGCGCCAAATACCGCTCTTGGTACGTCCACGCGCGTCTTTCAAGAGGTCCATTGGCTGGGTTCGACCCAAATTCGTCGGGTGACTCGATCATGTTGAATGTGCCTTGTATTTCGCCAGCTGTGCGGTAAGGTATCTTGTAGACGGTCATCGCTGGACGAGGCGAGATAAAAAGACCGAATCTAGAGTCCCTCGCGCCCGAAGCAGCCACAACTAAAGTTGCGTTACGGTAGACGTCCCCCATCATCTTTGCCTCAGAGTGCCAGTCTCGACTGTTGTCTTGGATAATGCAAAGGGAGTCAATCCAGATGTATTTAATGCCTATAGACTGTGCGAGCTGTACAGCATCTTGGAATGTTGTCGGGAGATCTTCGAACGCGATGCAGTTTTGACGCGCCGCGAAGTTCGCGGATGTCGTCCGGGGTGGTTGATTCTCAATCGAGCCCCAACAATGACTCAAGGCTATATATTGTCCTTTTTGGCCTCTAGCTTCGACGAGCTGAATCGAGGGGCGGGCAAGGCTTCCACTGAGAGCTAGGATACGAGTAGGCATAGGCATGTCGCCTTCGTGTTGGCATTTCCTGTGAGTTCTGCAGACATTCCGCCAGTGTTGGATCATATCGCAGATGTGTTTCATATCTCGATTAAGCATCGGCGGGCGGTCTACCAGAGTGGCACACGCAGCACTTCCTGGATCATATTGTTAGTACCACACACCATGCAGTACAAGATTGAAGGATGCATACCTTCGTCCGCCCACATTCCAAACCTATCGCCTAAGATATCCATTCCGCACACGCGCTTATGACCTCTTTCTTCTGAGCTTTCCACCGGATGGATATAGTCGGCTCCCGCCAACGTCGCCTGTAGCTCATATGGGGTAAACCTGTCCAAACGACTGAATAAGAGCTCGCAGAGCTGGCAAGATCCTGATTCAGAACCTCGTTTGGGGAATTTGATCTGGGGAATACCACGGGATCTAGGCGCAGGGAAATCGACGATCTTTTGAGTGAACTCAACGCAGAAGTCGCACAGCTCTGTAATATCCTTGATGATCGGTTCCTGTGTATTCGCCGCTCCTTCCTCATCTGAAGAAGACGAGGCCGACATCAGGACAGCCGGTGATAGGAATATCCAGAAAGCGGGATCTAAGCCGATGAAGGATGTATAGAGTCGCTATTGTCCTCTTACATCTGACGGACAGCTTAGAGCAAGGGGTAGATTGGGGAGAGCGAACGGTGGTTCGGAGCCGGCAGCAGTTGTCAGGCTGAAAGCTGCACTTGTCTTTAGGTTAGGCTGTGTCTGCGTTTTAGCGAAGAGCCATCCATGCTCGCGAAAGGCTGAGCCGATGCCAATATTACGAAGCCTGCAGGCCAAATCAGCAATACCGATAACTGTTGTGTACAATGAGGCTGTGTGACTGCATAGACGCGAAATGCGCGCTTATGGCCAAATGTCGATGAGGTGGTGGCGTAGCTCTTGCGATGCGACATGTTTGCGCGGGGTGAAAGTTCCGCGGGGTGCCTGCCCAGGAAAGCGCGAAATAGGCTGTGAACGTGCCAAGACAATCAAGGACGCTGTTCGGTGCGGATAAACACATCGCCTACATGCAAACGCACAACGACATAGCACAGCCCATTCCATCAATACACTCGATTCTTAGTCTACTCACCACAGCCCATCCCTCCTCAACAAAATCTCCCCACCCGTAACCCCACTCTGCCCGACCATACTCTCCTTCAAGATACCCGCGTCGTACAACTCATTAATAAGCGAGAACAACATGCCATCGCACCCCTTCGCCGCCATCAAATTCGCCGTAACAGGCAGATACTCCACATGCCCCGTAATCGTCGAGTTATACGGTGCCTCACCCAACGGGACAACATAATCCGGCACCTCGGCCATGACCGAGATGCGGCTGTTGCCAAAGCCAAAAGGCACGCCGGGCTCGTCCCAGTAGGTGTTGCGGTATGTGGTACCGCCGGTGGAGCCGACGTACATGACTAGGGATTCAGAGCAGGTCTCGGGAGAGGGAGCGAGGAAGGTCTCGTTGGCCCAGGTTTGGAAGATGGTCTTGTTATTAACAGCCTCGTCGACGGTGATGGTCTGGTTGTCACCCCAGCCCCAGCGTGCCAGCGGGACGGGGTTGACGAATGGAAGGCGGCCGTCGTGGACTTCGGCGTAGTCGGCGTAGAAGGGTTCGCGGACGAGCTCGATTTGCTGTTTGGTGATCAGGATAGCGTAGGTGAGATTCTGTAAGACTGTAAGAGGTGCGACATCCGGGTTTGCAGCGTCGAATGAGGCTGTGACGTTGAACGGAGTGGCGTTGGCACTGAGGAAGTCGGTTACGTTTCCGAGGAAGTCGATGAGGAGTTGGTCGGCGACGTCTTCGACTTCGGTGGGCCAGCCGAGGGTTTGGATGCTAGTTGGGTAGCTGCTTGTGATGGTGATGTTGGGGCCGTACATGGCTTGCGCTGCTTCCATCCAGATTTGTGGGTTGCGCGCCAATAAGCCGGGGGTGTCGAGCACGGGGCTGAGTGGCATGGTGTGATCTAGAGCTACCAGTCCATGAGATGGGCGATTGCCGTAGAGACCTTGGACTTGCGACGGGCCGCGCACGCTGCCGCCGGTGTCGGATCCGAGACTGACATCGAGCCAGGAGTAGGATGCGGTTCCAGCGCCGCCACCAGAGGAACTGGAGGAGGTGTCTTGGTAGCCGTCTCCACGGGGGTTGAATGCCTCGTGGTAGTCGACCCAGTCGGCCGTTGCGGTTTCACCGTTGGCGAATTGCGAGGTGATCATCTTGCCGACGATGATGGCTCCCGCGTCGATCAGGTTCTGAACGGGCGGCGCGGTTGCGTTGGCAGGAGGGTATAGCCAGTACCAAGCTCGGTTTCCGTTGGATGTTCGCAGGCCCTTGATATCTGCGGTTCTTGTCAGTCGATGCTCAAAGACCATAGCCTACGTGGTGGTGGTATGTCGTACCGTAGATGTCTTTGATACCAATTCTTACACCAGCCAAAGGCTTCTCGGCCGTCTTGGTGAAGTACAACCGCGAAGGCACGGCGATGGCATGCTTCTGGCCCACGGTACCCGCGGGCAAAACCGAGTATGAACCGTCGCCGTTGGCAATTGCAGACTCGGTGAAAGCGCCTTGCATATCAGAAAATAGTCTCCATGCCTCGTAGACATGACCAGCTGCGTTGACGAAGTAGGGGCCTGGAGCTAGTTCCTTGGATGCGGTGCCGGATAGTATGGTCAACGAAGAGTTCATTGGCTTGGAGTCGCTTCCTTGGACGTAAATGGCTGGAAGATAGGATCAGCGAGGGTCTCAAGAGCGTGAAGTTGGGTGCATACCGTCCATGAAGCCTTCTTGCCACACATCATCATGCGCATAGCTTGCTGTGAGCGACGCGACATCTACACTACCGTTGTGAGGCTTCACGACTGTGAACGGCACAAACGGAGCATCTTCGAAGGAGGCCTGAATCTCTTCGCAACTCGAGATCTTCGCGACTGGTTTTGGTGGCAGGAAGTAGTCGATGTCGGTCAAGGAAACCGTGAATCCAGTTGAAGAAACAGCAGCCTGCACACCGGCAACGACGAAAGACGCGACGCCGATCGATCGAGAGAAGCGCATCTTGTCCACGAAAAGTCCAAACCGGGGGTCTGGCGAAAGTCCGTGATGAAGCTCTATACGGCTGCAGGCCTGCGAGCTTTATACGTCGGCGCCACTTCCTGCTCTACCGAATCGATTGATCTTCAAGACACCATTTCCATTGGCAAAGAGTCATGATCCCGATCCATTCCCTAACCCATCTTCCCTCCAACGACAAGACAAGTCGGTGTCTGCGATGCTACCAGGATCAAAGCCGCCATCTTCCTGATAAGCACTCGGCCCTTCCACCTGACTGGCCAGCATCATCGGCACGCCTTATGCACACTACACAAATACGTAAAGGGCGTCTTGAGCATCGTAAACAGGAAGGCGGGCGGCGCGCTGATAGCTTTCCGAAGCTATCGCACGCTGGCACTGCCAACGGCTCTTATCGCGAGGTTTGGAGGTGAAGAGTGGAGATGCGGCTTTCCGGGCGGGGCAAACGTGGTTAGCGAACGCGCCGAGGAATGCGCCGATGACGTGGGCCCACTTGGGAGGATAGGCGGTTGCGCGGATTTGTCTGGAGGTACACTCACAACAATGTATTGCAATCCAGGTCTCGCTTCTTGTGTTCGCAGACGAGTGAGGTGCCATCCCGTGAGTGCCTCAGACTCGCGCATGGACCTCGCGCGCACGTGATGTTCACCAGCTGGCAGACGCCACCTGGGCATCGCCCGCGGATGTAGATACCCGGCTGCTTGGCGGCATAACCTCATGACAGAAGATTGGGAAAACCCACGTTGATACAAATACTGTTATAGCTCGACTAACTCAAAGTATGGTCATGATATATCGGTGCCGGATGACAGGCTTCATATCTATTCACAGCCAAGTATAGTGGGGGCTGTAGGCCGTCTTAGTCTTCACATCTGGCTTATGAGAAGGTGAACTTGTCCCCCAGGATAAGGTGAAATCATCCATCATGTGTAGCCCTTGTACAATGCGGCGGTACAGCTAACCAGGATGAATCCCACGTATAGATCAACGCGCCTGTTTACGCTTGAGGGTCCAACGATGTTTCTCAACCGAAAATCCATCTCCTAAAGCATCAACGTTGACCCCAAACAGATGGTGATGGCCTATAGTCTTGAGGTGGACCTCAACGCTAATATGCAACCGGCGTTGTTCGTCGTCATGTACCAAAACATCACCCTTATCATAGACCCGATTCTCGTCATAAGGCGGACCGTCGTCCCTGAGAATATTGTATAGAGCGAGCCTTTCATCGTCTGAAAAGATATCTCCTTCCCTTACTGTACCTCTACCGGTTCGGTTTACAAAGACAGTGAACTTGGGATTTTGACCGCTCGATGATGTTTCGAACCCGAATTCGAACATACTGTTAAACGGGTCATCAAATGTCATGGTAAGAATCTTGGCTTCTGAATTCCAAAGCGGTAGGTAAGCCCGTAGTGATTCTCCTAGCTGATAATGCGTCCATGCAGAAAAGGCCTGGAGTTGATAACCAAGGCTGCGGATGGTCTTGCATTCGTTGACAACAAATTGCTCATCGGTCACATAGTCGTAGTCTCTTCCTGCTTGGAACCCGTTAAAGCCAGCAATTGTCAATGTTTTACTGACCGAACCGAACGCGACTCTTGGACTAACGATAACAGTACTGTAGATGTTCCTTTGGCGAACCACTCTTGCGCTAGAATCATTCTCGTCTCCGTACGGGTAGAGCAGAATGCCTAAAAAGCTTCCGCTTTCCGTTGTCGAGCAACCAAGTAGTCCGATCCATACCCGGCCTAAAGCTCCGACCGTGCGACCGTGAAAATCGGTGCATTCAGAGAACTTCACAAGTGGTAATTGGATCTGCAAGCCCGTGTTGGTCAATGTGAACAGGGTGGATGGTTCCGTAGCGCGAGACAAGTCGGCACAGTCTTTAAAGTCTTCTGGGGAGCGAGCCAAAAAGTCGACCTCTTTAGTTGTATGGTACAGGTCGTCCCTATCAATAAGCTCCAGACCAGAAGGGTCCCTAGCCTCTGGCGATAGAGCCCAGGCAAGAATGGAATCGTCATCAACCTTCCGGATAATCTCCTCCTGGAGACGACGAAATGCCCGGTGACCTTCTCCATACAGAAGCGGCATATTGATGTCGAAGATCCCAAGGAGGCAGTAGGCCATGTCCTCCGGACGTGTCGTCTGCCTCTTCGAAGCCCATGACATCCTCGTCGCGACGCAATAGGAACCGAATTTGTTATCCCTGAACCTTAGCCCCCATCCAGTGCACAAAGCCCCCTCCTCTATTCCTGTGATTTCCGAGATTTGCTCGGCGTGGTCACCCCGACAGCCCAAGTCAACCCACTGTTGATCGTAGAAGATAACCGTTGATGGGGCTAACATCTCCTGGAGTGTCCATCCTCGTGTGAACCATCTACTCTTAGGGAAGTCTTGATCCTTTCTGGGTTTAGATACATCAGAAAGATACGCGTAACAGCGGACTGACTTCTGATACCAGGCGAACATAGAGTTAATTGCCTCGGAAAGCTCCGCGCTAGAGCTTTTGTCGATACAGCAGGTGTCCACCCATGCGTAGCCGATTTTGTCTTTAATCGCCTGCTGGCAAGTGAGGACAATCTTCTGATAACCAGATCCGACAAGAGGCTGACCCGAGGTGAACTGGGCGAACGACACCTCTTTATCGCCCCAGGTATGCGAGAGAATGGCATAGAACGGGATGTTTGTACCGAAGAACTCTTCCAGTTGTAGTGTTGAGCAGTTGATGAGACGCATTTGGACGAGCCTTCTCGTCTTCACTGTCAGGCTGACATAGACGGAATGAAACTGTCACGTCTGCCGACGCTTGTGCAGAGATAATAGTGCCGTTCGCGGGAACGCTCAGTAACAAGGTGTTAAGGAATGATGGGTATATTTTGTCGCTGTGCACATGAAGCTGCGAAAAGGTGCTGCGGGAGGAGTTGAAGTGGATGAGCATCACCCGGGAGCCGTGCTATGCTCCAACGCTCACCGGTAAAAATGGACGCTGAGCTGTGAGGTCATGTGCGACGTTGCTATGCATGCCAGGTGGCGTCTGCACTGCATACAGGAGAATTGGCTGGCTGCGGGTAAAAGGCCAATGGGCAGACATCCTCGCTGTTGCCTGGACAGGTGGGCGTCGCGCGTCCTCCGTTCGGCAGGAGTGTGGGCGAACGGGCAGTGCGCACGGCGAGTGGGTTGGAGTGAAATAAATACCCGGCGTAAGGTTCCTGCGTCGCGCTGAAATCGAAATGCGTATGATCATCGCTGTAGATAACGAGAAGGAAGGTATTTGGAGGTGAGCGGGGCGATTTGGGGTCGCGCGGCTTGGCGGGATGGCTGTCCCGCGACTTCCCAGGCCCGTGGCCCTGGGCGCAGTCGGCTGCTTTTGATAAGCGGAAGTCACCATTTTGCATTCTATCCGACATGGGGTTGCAGTGGCAACATCGTCTTGCTTCTGCATGGATCAACTCTTAGGCACTACGGGGAAATCTATCGTTCCGCTCATGCTGACCCGCGAGCCTTTGTGAGAAGTACGGGCGAAGGCCCCTGTTTATCATAACATTGCATTCGCTATTGTTGCGCTGACAGCACTGATGTCGCAATCAACGCCTTCACAAAAGCTACAGCAGCGCGAATGCCTATACCCGCAATCTTATCCCCATCACCCAGATTTGGGTTGAAAGAGCACATGGTAAACGATACCGGCGTAGCCTTCTTCGGCAACAAACTCATGCACCTGACCAGATCCTCTTCTTGTAGTCCACCCTCACTCTCAAACCCATTGACCATGCCCACACTCTTATCCAGGACGTCCAAGTCGAGATGCACAAGCGACGGCGACATATCCCTCTTGTCAAGTCGCTTCTCCAACTCACCCGGGAAATCCACAGCCTTCGCATCACCCCAAATAACATCCACTCCAGCTTCCGCAACCGTCTTCTTCTGCGTCTCATTCACATCGCGTAGGCCCACGTACAAGAACCTATCCTTGTAGTTCATCGGCGCGTACCCCGGTATCTGCTCCGTATGCCAATGCCAGCTCTTCCCCGCCAACATCGACAAGCCCATGGCATCGAAATACCCATTCTCGTTCGTGGAAGGCGTATCCATATCGTCGTGCGCATCAAAGTAGATGAAGTTGAGGTCCTTGATACCCAATCCGCATGCTGCCCCTACGCTAGCCATGCAGTTGCCAGAGAGTATGAAAGGGAAGGAATTGCCGGTTCGGGCTTTGCTGACTGCTAGGGAGGTGCGGCGGAGGACTTCGAAACTTCGGCCTATCTCGCCTTCGAAGTCGTCGACGGGTGAGATTTCGTCGATACTGACGGCGACGCCTAGGGCTTCAAGTTGGGGAATGAGGCCGAGAGCTCGGATTCGGTTTGGGCCATCGCCGACGCGGTGGTTGCGGAGGCCGACGTGGTAGGGTGAGAAGATGATGGTGATGGATGTAGCGGGCATGTTTGGGAGATGGATTGAACGATTGCCCACGTGATGAGAGATGTGTCGTTGACAACAATGCCAGGGACTCTACTTATGCAACGATTATCTTTGGGTTAGTGACGTCAGTGGGGGAGAAGTAACGCCGACTGATTCTGCTTGCTTAAGAATCTCGCGAGTTGCTGCAGTCTTTCGCTTCTCATGTTGCCGACTTACGATGCGTTATTGTCCCACTCTACGGCTCCCAATGCCTTGGTAATCTCGCAATCCGGTTTCTCAACCATGCCGATGAGATGCCGAGGGCATGCCGATGGGATATTATAGACCTAGGGCTTTTGATAGATGCACTATGTCGGCTATGACCCATTTCCTGGCTGGAGGTAGCCTACTCAGCTCGAAAGCTTAACGATGAAGAACCAGTTCAACAGATAACCGTGATCCTAAGAGGAAAGTTTGGCGAGCAGTCCAGATGTGGGACCATAGGCTGGAAGAAGTCATCGAAACAATTGAACAACATGTCGCATTATAGCTTCAGTATGCTATGGCTCAAGCAAGCTATGCCGGCAGGCAACGTAGCACTCCTCGATAGATCGTATATGGCACCGGTGATGGAAACAACTGTCTGACGTCATGTTCGATATCGCGTCGCGAATCGCGTCCGTCTCATTTCCTCCCTTCTGTGGCATCAAGTTTCAAATGGATTGATGTTCGTAGTCGGGAACGCGTAGATGTCGAATCGCTGAGCGAATGGAAGTTGGTGTGCTTGGAGATGCAGGCATGGGGTAGTGCGCACGACCGCAACGAGGATAGCGCGCCGCCGACCTGACGCGCCAAGGGTCGTCCACAGTTATTCTCAAGCCATCCTCACATACATCGCGCAAACCTCTGCCGCCACGAACACGTCCCAACGCGTCCACGTCATCACACTCGACACCCCGAAACATCGACCGACGTACTATCGTTCACTGCGCCATTGCGACCGTGACGCCGACACAACTACACGCGGCGAACAGCCCAAACAGGCAACATGCCGCGGAAGAGCGCTGCGAAGAAGGAGGAGCCGTCCTCGGATGAGGCGTCGGCGCATTCCGATGTCGAGATGCAGGACCAGCCGGACGACACAATGAACGGCTTCAAAAAGTTTGGCGTAAGCGCAACCCCCGTTTGCGCCTTCCTCGCCGCGACACTCACATGTCAAGCGGGAGGAAGGCGCGACCACGAGAAGACATTGGCTAACATTCCAGACGCAGTACAATGTGGATACCCCAGACTACACAGTACGATGACTCCGACACGGCGCCACTCTCACCCGGCCCAACAACTGACACGCGCACAGGACTCGGATACCAACCCCAACACCACAGCAAACAGCGTCGCAGGTGACGCGCCAGTCGACGGCCGAAGAAAACGCGCCGAAGAGATGAACATGCGGAAAAGCATGTACGGCAAGAAGGCTGAAGGTCTGAGGGCATCCAAGGTACGCGACTTCACTGCGCATTACATCCCGAGACATGACTAACTTGGCTCCTCCCACAGGAAGACGACACCATCCGCCGCTTTCGATACCTCCTCGGTCTGACAGACCTGTTCCGCCACTTCATCGACACGAACCCCAACCCGCGCATCAAGGAGATTCTCGCCGAGATCGACCGCCAGGATGCCGAAGAGACCAAGAAATCAAAGGCCAGCAAGGTGCGGAAAGGAGGCGCCGCTGCGGAGCGTCGGCGGAAGACTGAGCAGGAAGAGGACGCCGAGCTGGTGCGCGAGGAGAAGCATGGCGGACACAACGAAACGGTCTTTAGGGAATCACCGGGCTTCATCAAGGGCGGCACCATGCGCGACTACCAGGTTGCGGGTCTCAACTGGCTCATCTCCCTACACGAGAACGGTATCTCCGGAATCCTCGCCGACGAGATGGGTCTCGGAAAGACGCTGCAGACCATCTCCTTTATCGGCTACCTCCGCTACATTGCCGGCATTCACGGTCCTCACCTGGTCGCAGTGCCCAAGTCGACACTCGACAACTGGAAGCGCGAGTTCGCCAAGTGGTGCCCTGACGTCAACGTCCTGGTCCTCCAGGGTAACAAGGACGACCGCGCCGACCTCATCAAGGAGCGCCTGGTACCCGATGGCTTCGATGTCTGCATCACCTCCTACGAGATGATTCTGCGCGAGAAATCGCACCTGAAGAAGTTCGCATGGGAGTACATCATCATCGACGAAGCCCACCGCATCAAGAACGAGGAATCGTCGCTCGCCCAGATGGTCCGCGTCTTCAACTCTCGAAGCCGCTTGCTAATCACAGGTACCCCTCTTCAAAACAACCTCCACGAGCTCTGGGCCCTGCTCAACTTCCTCCTCCCCGACGTCTTCGGAGACTCCGCCGCTTTCGACGACTGGTTCACCTCCCAGAACGCCGACTCGGACGCCGTCGTCCAACAACTCCACAAGGTCCTCCGGCCCTTCTTGCTCCGACGTGTCAAGGCCGATGTCGAGAAGTCGCTACTGCCCAAGAAGGAGATCAACTTATACGTGGGCATGTCCGACATGCAGGTGCAATGGTACAAGAAGATTCTCGAAAAGGACATCGACGCGGTTAATGGCGGTGCCGGCAACAAGGAGTCTAAGACCCGTCTGCTCAACATCGTCATGCAGCTGCGAAAGTGCTGCAACCACCCATACCTTTTCGAAGGCGCCGAGCCTGGTCCGCCATACACTACCGATGAACATCTCGTCACCAACGCTGCGAAGATGGTCATGCTGGATAAGCTGCTGAAACGTATGAAGGCCCAGGGCAGTCGCGTACTCATCTTCTCGCAGATGAGTCGTGTACTAGACATCATGGAGGACTACTCAGTCATGCGCGATTACAAGTACTGCCGTATCGACGGTTCGACCGCCCACGAGGATCGTATCCAGGCCATCGACGACTACAATAAGGAGGGGTCGGAGAAGTTCCTGTTCCTCCTGACTACCCGTGCTGGTGGATTGGGTATCAACTTGACGTCTGCTGATATCGTCGTCCTCTTCGACAGTGACTGGAACCCGCAGGCCGATCTGCAAGCCATGGACCGTGCCCATCGTATTGGTCAGACCAAACAGGTCTACGTCTTCCGATTCGTCACCGAGATGGCCATTGAGGAGAAGGTGCTTGAACGTGCGGCTCAGAAGCTGCGTCTCGACCAGCTAGTCATTCAGCAAGGCCGCTCGCAACAACCCGTCAAGAACGCTGCATCCAAGGACGAGCTCCTGACCATGATCCAGCACGGCGCCGAGAAGGTGTTTGCAAGCAAAGGCCCCGTCGGTCCAGCAGCCGATGGCGAGCTTGCTGATGACGACTTTGAGGCTGTCATGCGTCGCGGTGAAGAGATGACGGAGAAGCTCAACAAGAGGTACGAGACGCTCGGTCTTGACGATCTCCAGAAGTTCACCTCGGACTCAACCTACGAGTGGAATGGCGAGACCTTCCAACCACGCAAGAAGGAAATTGGCATCTCCTGGATCAACCCCTCGAAGCGTGAGCGCAAGGAACAAAACTACGGCATCGATTCGTACTACCGCAAGACGCTGGTCACTGGTGGACGAACAGAGAACAAGCAACCCAGGATACCCCGCGCGCCAAAGCAGATCACTATCCACGACTACCAGTTCTTCCCCAAGCGACTCTCGGAACTCCAAGACAAGGAGACTGCATGGTACCGCAAGGAGAACAACCTCAAAGCCCCTCTCCCAGAAGGCCCGGATGAGGATCTCGAAGCCCGTGAGGCCGATCAGCAACTTGCGCAGCAGGAGATTGATGATGCGGAGCCACTCACAGAAGAGGAGAAGGCTGAGAAAGAACGCCTGATCGAAGAGGGCTTCCCTGAATGGAACAAGCGTGACTTCCAGCAGTTCCTCAACGGCAGCGCCAAGTACGGTCGCCAAAACTACGATGGCATCTCGGAGGAGGTCGACGGCAAAGATGCCGACGAGATCAAAGCTTACGCCAAGGTCTTCTGGAAGAAGTACAAGTCGCTGGACAATTGGCAAAAGCACCTGGGTGTCATCGAAGAGGGCGAGCTCCGTGTCCGTCAGTCGGAAGAGAAGAAGCGCCTTATCGCCAAGAAGATTGGCATGTACCGCATGCCCCTCCAGCAGATGCAGATCAAGTACACCGTCTCCACCACCAACAAGAAGGTGTACACCGAGGAGGAAGACAAGTTCTTGGTCGTCATGCTGCACAAGCACGGCGTCGAAGGCGAGTACATCTACGAGAAGATCCGCGACGAGATCCGCGAATCGCCCCTCTTCCGCTTCGACTGGTTCTTCCTCTCCCGCACGCCGCAGGAGATTGGCCGCCGTTGCACTACGCTCATCTCGGCTATCGTGCGCGAGCTCGGCGAGGGCGACCTCAAGAACAAGAATGGCAAGCGCGGGTACGAGGAAGAGGAGACGGAGGAGGAGGAAGAGGAGCAGCCGAAGAAGAAGTCTAAGAATGGTGTCAAGGTATGTTGAGTTCGGATCTGGTGATGATGCCGTATACTAATAGAGAGCAGAACAAGCAGCTCGACACCGTCAAGGGCAAGGCCGGATCGGCATCGGCGACACCGTCTCGTGCAAGCAGCGTTGCGACAAATGGCTCGGCGACTAAGGGTTCGGCGACCAAGGGCAAGGGCAAAGGCAAGAAGAAGTAGTGTTTTTGATGCGTCAGTGTAGGAGGGCAGCATGTTGTGGTGTTTTGGCGTTATAAAGACGGGCCAGCGTGTTTTAGCGCACTGTACTCGACGGGGGTATGTTGAGCTTTGATCCGTCCATGACGGTATGGGTGGGTGTTTGCGTGTTGCATTTGTAATTGTAGAAGATGAATCGAGGTGTTCATATCATATTTTCTGGGTTCACAAGTGTGTTCATTGAATTCGTGACTATGCATCTACGCTCACGCCACCCATCACAAATCCTCGGCACATGACTTTTGGAAGCAATATATACATTAAAGAAGATACTCATAGACATCATGACTATCGTAAGCTCATCAAGCCTTA